CAATCCGAATGCGATGATCAGCCGATCGTCACCTTAAATTAGGATCGGTTGATTGCCGCGAGCATCGCAGGTCCGACGTCTCCAACGTCGCAAAACCTGCTGCTGACGCGTCTTTGCTGTATCCGCCTAGAGTCCACCTGGAAGCCGGAATAAGAAGGGGGAACACTCCGTTGTCAACCCCGTCTTCAAACCCCCGGATGGTGATTCCGCCATGACTAGAAGCTTTCCGGCGATCCGCCAGTCGATGCGAGCAGTAATCCTGCAGAACGTTATTCGACTGACAATGAGTTCATTTGCAGGCCTTTAGGCACCACACACCGACATGCTGTCAGAGTATTAGAAAAACATTTGAATGAGGTTATCTAACCTCTGTATTCTCTAGACCTCCAAGGATATATCATCTTCTTCTACAAACTCCCAACCATAAACAAGTTATATTGGGTAATTAAAACCTAAAGATTAGCTGAACAGCTTCTTCAAGGGAGGCCACTCAATTATGGTGGCATCGAAATTTTTTAAAAATTGAAGGATGTAAGCAATGACGACGCCAACGAACAAGATTATGTCGAGTAAGGAAAAAGCTTTCAAATTATGTACAAAATTGGTAGCTTCTCGAACTAAGTGAATTCTACCGCTCTTAATCTGAGGTTCGACCAGATCTGATCACGGTCTTCTCGATTTTAGGCATGGCATTGTATGGCAGAAATTTTCCTCGAAAAATGTTGAAAACATCATATATGCTACTGGTGTAAAAATTATAAGGAAAGAAGACAAACAGTGTGGGGGTCATGTCATGTTCAATGAAATTAAGCAGGCAAAAGGGGAATGGTAAAAGCGTTACTGGACTATTTGGGTTATATTAGAGGTTCTTTGACTTGGAAGATTATACTATGTGGCACTGTCTAGCACTGTGGTATGGAGGGGTCTGAATGTATGGAATCTGCTCTACCTACACTACTTTTAGGGTTTGCTTCAACTACTGTTGATATTCATGTAGTCATGAAATGGCACAGATTTTCTGAGGAAGAGGGAGGGACTTATCTTTGAGTTTCGACCAAAATTCGTAATGTTGGTTTTACACATAAAAGTAAGAGATAAAATGCTTCACTGGGTATGGCGGAAATCTGCGCTTTCCATTTTTCGGGAAAATTTCTTTTGCTTGTCCTCTTTTGATGAGCATACAAAATTCATCCTCTTTCTCTTGATTTTTTGAATTCTTTTCCTTAAGGGCACGGATAAACAAGAGTAACAGCTTTTAATGTTGTTTTTTGGATGCTTAAGATCAGTTTAGATGCAAATAATTCAACAGAGGAAAAACCCGAAATTGGATAGGCATTTTGCGAGGACGCTAGAATTCATGTTGAATACAGTAACTGACGGGGACTGCTACTCTCCCAGCGTCTCTATTCCTTCAATGCACTAGTGCTAACTTATACGCAAATCCAGGGGAGGGAGATCTGGGAATGATGATTGTTCAAAGAATCGGTAAATACGATGCGCATCAATGAGTTACGTGCTAAACTGCAGGAAGGTTATGGGTTTGCTTCTCATTTGGTTGGTTACTGTAACAAACGTTTTGACTTTTTATCCCTGACACTCTTTCAGATACGGAGAGACATTGATTACATGCCATTATTCGTGGAAGACCCTGACCTTTTGCAAACTAACAAAAAGCGTGTGAATTGACCGAAAAGTCTATTAAAATATGCGAAAAAATATGAAAGATCTTGCAGATGCACTTCATTTGAAGCATTATTCCACATTGATTTTCTATTTTTTAAGAAGGAAGTGAATATCCTCTAGGGAATTTTTGAACTGATGACTTGAAGAACTGAAGTTTGTCCAAATGTCTAGAAAAAAGCCAACAAACTTAGATTCAAGAAAAAATGCGCTCCTTGTTCGCCATTTTGCGAAGGCACTCTTAGGTCAGCATAATTCGTATATTTACGAAGAAACTAAGTCAAACATCACTAATCGATAGATTCTGTGATTGGAATAGAAGCTTATGTGATCAGATCCTAAATATATCAGAACTTGAATTATTTCAATGTAACTAATTTGTAGTCGATTTCTGGTAAAATTTGTTCAACATATTTAACTTGTCCTACAAGCCGTTTTTTCATCAGTTCTAACCTCAAGATGATCGGTAACACAGATAGGATCAATACCGGAATCGTGTAATGGGATAAAGTGATCGAGGGGGATGGGTGGAGTCACGGTGACGAATCTGGGATACATATAAACAACCAGGAAGTACGAACCAGACGCGAACTTTTCAATTGTATGAAAAATCTCCTCGGGCCGAGAGCTGAGCTTAGGAGGGTCAAAGCATAACCTTGCAGATGACATCATTTCCTATTCTTTCTTATACAATCCTATTTTCAACTAGCTTGGCCATCTACTTTTATGTTGGTTTTCCTCAAAAACTCACTCACCAATTGAGATTGCGGTATTTTGAACGAGTATCGCGACAAGTAAATAAAAGAGGAAGGTATCCCAAAGTGGCGTCAATCGAGACATCCAATAGAGAATTGTACCAAATATCAGCGCAGATAAGGTGAAGTTTGGCAGCTGCAACAATGTTTTCATAAAAGACGGCCAGTCAAGACGGATTATAAAAAAACGAACTTCTGCTAGGTTTTTTGCTATAAAGTAGGAGCTAACGTTATACAGTCCTGAGCTGTATTCGCGAAAAAAAGTGTGGATTTCCGAGCAGAAGTGCTAAAAAGGTGAATTTTGATCAAGTTCCTCCATATCATATTGCATACGTACTGACATGTACTACACTGAACTGAAACATGAAGGCCATGGTGGAGACCATTTGAAACAGCGATCCGTTGATGTTCGCTACCTTTTCTTGCGTGTATGAGTCGTTCAAGTAGATTATTCCCGTGAGAACCGCAATCAACTGAAATTAGGCGATTCTGAATGAAGTGGGAACTAGCGTTCGTCTTTTCTTCAAAATCTTACGATTGATTGCACGAGTTGAACTTTGAGCAAAGTTGGCTCTCGCACTACCGTCATCGTATTCCGCCATAATAGAGCACGAAGCTGATTCAAGCAACTGCAAAAGTGACTATTAAGAAAGACAGGTGATTCTGAACGCCACAAATTTTCAAGAAAACCACGAGCAGGTGTTATAGCTGGGAACCAGCTCCAATAGTTTTGGTGATTTGAGAAGAT